GAAGATCCATAGGTGCGATGAACAATGCACCTCCATCATCAACACTTACGTACTTAGGACGTTGAAGACGATGTTTTCAGGTTATACACATATGATGTTGAAGAAGGTAATGGCAAGTTAGGCACTTGCGATGTCGCGTTGTTGTACACATATGAGCGTACATGAATATTCATAATGAATATTACATATAGATAATAATTCACATAAAAACAGTTAAAGTGAAAAAAAAATTATATCAAGATGGAAGTCATATCAAAAAGACAAAATGCTCGTTTTTTCATGTAATTTATTGGATCGGAATATTAGCAGTTTTTAGATAATTTACTTTAAAAACTTAGGAGGGTAAAAGTTATTAATTAAAGAAATGTAATTAATTTCTTTTTATCACATATGAAAGTGTTTATGATGATTATCACAGATGAAAGTGTTTATGATGATTAAACGAGAAAAAAGTTTGGTAATTAAATCAAATACAACAAAAAGAAATATTGTGTTTGTGTTTTTAAGATAAAATACTATAATTATATTTTATTAATAACATTACAATGTTTATTACAACGAATTAGATGTAAAATACATTATTATATTTTTTTTACTTTTAACAATATTATTCGTAGTATAAAATGATTTTTTACTATTTATCCATTACTCGTTTCACCGTTCGTTATTTTAATGGGTAATGTACAGATATAGATAGAAGTTTTATGACATAAATAATTACTCGTTTATTTACCTGTTATTTTAAATAAGTAGAAACGGAAGAATGTTTAACCTATCTATACCCCACCCGTTGCAAGCCTTACTTGGTTTACATATTATAGTTCATGAAAATACAAATTCACTTTGATATGTTTCTTATTTTGTTTGATAACATACTTTAGTTTAAATGCTTAAAATATCACATTTGTGTACTAGAATAAAAGTATTGAAAATGCGTAACAAATAACAAGACTCTGACCAAATGCATTACTTTTTTGGGCAATTTTACGTTTTTCATATACTTAAATTTTTCACATGCTATTCAACCGTTTAGGTTTTTTATATAATTTCCATCAAAATTAGAGTTGCCATATCATATGGATCAAGGATACCCCCTCTTAGTTCGGTATAATTATGTGCGTTCAATGTGCATCGCTTGTTAGAACCAAAATCGTAAATACAGTTTGGGCATCTTTCCAAACCACATAACAAAACCGTTTCATGCCTCAAACTGCAAAATAACTCACCATAAAATACGGTGCATTTTATGTAGTCTGTATATAAATATGATGCGTACAAATTCATACCGATGCATGACAAAATTTCATAGTTAATACCCCATTTCAATACAAAGTGGAAATACGGAATATACTTAAATCTAATTCATAGTAAATTGAAATCAAACTTTTAAAGGGCAATAGTAAACTAAAAAAACAACTCTGAAAATAAATATCGAGCTTTTAACTTTCATCAAGATCCACAACTAAAGTAATTAGTAAGTTATTTTGCTTTTAGGTGATAAAAATATATCATATATATAACTAATAAAAGTTAATACGTGGGGTAGTGTGGTTTGAACCGCAATTTAAATTACTAAAGCCCGTAAATCAAACCACTATGCGGTATAAAGAAATACAAACCGTAAGTCGTGACATCCTTGGTATCTTATAATCAAAAAACAAACTACATTGAAATGGAATCAATTTTGTGTTCGTCCTTAATTTGACGGACAGATTTTTAAAATCTCAATTTTAAGAAACTTACTTTCAAAAAATTTATTTTAAGGAAACACACGAAAACAACTTTATTTTTGTTCCTATTTTGATGAACATGAATTTCATCATCTAGTCCATTCAAACAAAAAAGATTTATCAATTAGATACATATATACTTTCATAATCATACCAACTTTAAAAGATTACCTAACAATTGAGATGAATAAGATTTTCTTTATCAAGTTATTATCATCAAATTAACCCATCATTTTGGTTAATTTGCTACATACGTAATTAATGTAGTTTAACTAAATCACCTGTATGATGCAGGTAATATTTTGTATTGAAGTTCTATTTGTATATCCATATATGCTTATATTTATACCAAATAAAACAAGACTACTAATAAAACCATCATATGCTTATAAAAGGAGACGACCCTTTAACTCTAATCTTTGTATATCCATATATGCTTATATTTCTTGAAAGGAACACAAGAAATGAGAGGAAGTCTTGCAATCATTGGTTATGTTTTGCATCTCCGTTTACAACCTCATATGCTTACAAAAGGAGACAACCCTTAGCTCTAATCTTTGAAGACATTCTTGTCTAGATACATTCATTCACATAATCCTCAAACCAATACAATTGTTATTGAAGGAGTTTAGAGAAGGATAAAGACTGACTAAGGGGCTTATTACCAAATTTTCTATTAAATCTTGTATGGATAAATGTGTTTGTTTGTTTATTTAAATTTCTTTATCTGCATAATAACGTGTTATTTGAATCAACAATCTTAATGATGGAAATGATTTTTTTACCCTAGAGTATAAAAACCCTCAAAAACCCCTTCATGAACAATGAAATCGGATAACCAAGTTCAAATTTGTATCAAATCCTCAAAAAGACCCTCAAACTTTTTTTTTCCATATGTACCAAATCCTCAAAAAATCAAGTTCAAATATGTAAATCCATCAAGATATCAAAAAGCAAGTTCATATCTTCTAAATCTCAAATTCAAGTTCAACATCCTTAGGAAAATAGTAGCAAACCGAGCACCTATGGAGAAGAAATCAAAAAAGTATTGAACAGATCAAACAAGTAGAAGAAGTTAAAAAAAAAAGATGAAATCGAGCGGCTATGTGGAGAATCGACCAAGAAGATATCGACTAAGCATAAAATGGTGGAGAAGAAATTGATAAAGCTATCGATCAAGAAATCCAGCTGTTATGGAGAAGAAATCGACCATGAAATCATTACCTGTGGAGAAACCGAGTGAAGGAAATCGTTGCACCTAGGGTTGAATGGTCGAACTAGAGTGAAGGAGAAGAAATCATTATCAATGGAGAAGAAATTGAACCAGTAGAGGAGAAATATTGGAGCGCGTAGGGTTGAAAGGTCGAATCAGAGTGATCGAGAAAAGGGTAGGTGATGATGGAGATGGTGATGATGAAGATGAAGTTTGGAGATGGTGATTATGGAGATGAAGTTTGGAGATGGAGATGAAAGAGGCATGTTCCTAACCTGGAAGGAGGCATTCTAAAGTATAAGGGGTAGGGATGTCTTTTTTTGGGCTAAATGTGGACAACATAGCATTTCCGTCTGTGCGAATAAGTCATCATCTGGGCGAATAAGCTACAAGTAAACACCTATTTTGGCTATGCGAATAGTTGTTCAACTCACTAAGCCCATTAAGTCATAAGTAAACACCCTCTAAGATAAGTTTTTGGTTACTGATGTCCATGACACCAAAGATCAATGAGCATTTTATTTAATACACGATAGCGGCAGAGATTTCGGAAGCATCTTGGGATACATTCTCCAACAAGGATAATATTGTTGTCATCTTTGATATCAAGGGCCTCCTTCATAGACAAGGAGACTCCACTATCATATGGCATTAGTATGACTTTAACTCGCTATTGGCAGCAACTTGACATTCTCGACACAAACATATAGAGTTGTGACACCAATGCAAAACTTTATAGGAGGATTCTAGAAACCGACGGGATCTACAAATTGTTGCTTAGGCTGAATCAAGAACTAGATGTGGTTCGAGGACGGATCCTTAGCACTAACCCGCTACCTAGCATCTGAGGAGCATTGTACCTTAAGAAGAAATCAATGTAAAAGATACTATTTGGAGAAACCTCAATTATTCTGTCATAGATTGGGTTGCTCTGATAACACGATACCATTCTAAATCTGCAAGCAGATTTTAAATGAGATTTGGAAGCTCCTTGAACAATATTGGATGTCCATGGTGTGATCATTACAAATGAATTTGCCACCAGTGTGCTTGACAAGATCTCCTATATAGCAGTATCACTACCAAAGACAACAATCCCTACATTCTCATTCTCAAGATTCAAGACGCTAAAGAGATATGTTGGGAAATTCATGGGAAACCAACATCTTAGGAGCCAAATTTCCAAGAAAATGATAGTTGTGGAAACATTGTAGCATCTCAAAATAATGAATCATTTAGAAATGAAAAAAGTAGCATCTCTGAGAAAATTATCTGTAACACTCTAGGAACCCAAACTAAATATCGCAATTGTGGAGCAAAAGAATGAATTGACAACTAGCACGATGCTAAGTAAACCATGGATTTTAGATTCTGACACTTCAGATCATGACTGGTGGGTTAAATGTCTTCTACAACTTTCAACCACAAGGAGATGGTACCACAATGGTGGATGGATCCAATTCACATGCCTTTGGTATTGGTACAATTGTTATATCCAATTATATCTTCTTCAATGCAGTGTTATATGTTCTCAAACTTGTGTATAATCTTCTATCAATTAGTAATATAACTAAGGACCTAAAGTGTAGTACTAAATTTTTCAAATATATGTGAATTTTAGGTTTGGATCTTGGGGAAGAAAATTGGCATAGGTATATATCTTCTTAATTCAATGCACCCTCAAGTCTTTTTCAAGCAAGCCTTGTTTACAGTTTCTAATTTAGACCAAAAACTATTTTGTGGCAGCATAGACTAGGCTACCCTAATTTCTTGTATCTACAAAAGCTAATTTTAGAATTCAAAAATAAAATCTCCGTTCACTCAAATATGAAACATTTCAATTATCATAACCATACAATACCTTTATAACTTGATTCCATATAAAGCTTCACTTACCTATTGTACAGTGATGTTTGAGGACCATCTCAAATTAAGAATCTCTCAGGTTCGAAGTGATTTTTCACTTTCATCATTGACCATACCCGCATAAATTGGTTGTTCTTAACGAAAGAAAAATCGCAGGCAAGACCAATTTTTAAGAGGTTTAATACCATGATCCAAAACAAATTTTCAGCTAAAGTTCAAATTTTGAAAACTGACAATACAAGAGAATATTGCCACTCTAAATTTGGAACATACATCAATCAACAAGGGATAGTTCACATTTGCTCGTATGTTAATACTCCTCAACAAAATGGAGTAGTTGAAAGGAAAAGTTGGCATCTACAAGAAGTCACTTGTTCTCTCCTCTAGGTGACCTTTGTTCCCACTCACCAAGTTACATTCTGGAAGAAAAACTATGACTTGTCAACTAGGAAACAGTCGTGTATTTCTTTTTGTCAAGGTAGAACATTCTTGAAATGCATGCCTACAAGTTGATGTTACATTAGTTCAACCATATAGCTCTCTACCAAAGAGTCACTGGTACAATAGTACTGATAACCCCATCTTCCTAGAGATCCGGGATTCAAGTCTCACCAAAATTGAAAAATACATGTGAGTGTAATATGCCATACACACATGCACACACATATATGTACTTTGATTCAATGCTCTTCTGTGCAAACAAGTTGGGTTAGGCTGAAAATGAGACATGATGGAAGTTTCAAAAATAGAATAAGAAAGAAAAAGCCAACTAACCCTAAATTTTCTATTGAACACTGACAATGTTTCTCCATGCTTACCCTTAAGAATAAATTGCATTTATGCTAAATCAGTCCAGTCTTCTTTACTAGTCCAACAAAACTTATGTTAATTTTGCATACACCCACATTTGCTAACTAATGACCTCTCTTTGCAAAAAATAATTTGGTGAGACTAAAAGTACATGTAAATGGACATCCACAACAACCAAGATACTATAAAATACATTAACTGAGATATGAACTTGTAAGAAGAGGGAACATGATGTGGAATGATTATAGGTAGAACTGTGGACCAAAAGTTGATAGCCACATACCTCAAAATAGTCCACTGAGTAGGGAGTCGTCGAATCACCAGCTACACCTAGCATGTGAAATGGGTGCATAAGTATATTGTGCTCAGCCTGGAATACAATCATAAAGATGAAAGTATCAGAATTCCTAGAGGCATACCATGAGAAAAACTTCCTTGACCAATTGGGTAGATGAAGGAAACAAGTCCTAGTATGTTCCAATTGAATCCTTAATTTCTCTATTGGGATCCTGCTATTGGCAAATAGGTATAAGCTAGATACTGCCAACAACCTTTGAGTTTGACTATCACTATCGAACCAAAATAAACTTATATTGCTCCTAATTAGATTTTAATTACACGGGGCTACATGGTCCAAAACAAGATGTAAATCGGTTCTATATTGACCTTCATAAGCATAGAAAAAGAAAGTACACCTAAATGGATCCAAAATTGGCCTCAATAGACTTAAATAGTCTAAAATAAACCCAAGAGGCATAAATAAAACTAATGGACATAATAGGTTCTATATAGACCTAAATGGGACCCAAATAGTAAGCTTATATGAAAAAGATGATCAAATGCCCTTCCTAAGAGAATCCTAACATTCTTAACTCGATTGTCGTTATCACTTAAAGATAAGTCATTCTTTCAAAATAAAAGCATGTATAACATCACCAATAAATCGAACTTGGTATCAGAAGATATAACATAGCCATCAACTATCTATGTTGTTGCTCTTGTTTTCATCTCTCCCCTAAAATTAGATAATAATCATTAGATGAACTCAGTATGCCCTTTCATATGACCAAATGATTTGTTGAAATATTCATGTCCTCAACCTATAGAAACATAAAAAAGAAATTCAAAGTAATGCACAGGCCTATTCTTGCCTACAATGGATTAAATTTCTCCACATCTCTTAGAGAATGTGACCATTCATCCTTAGAGTGTGAAAGTTTTTTAGAAAGTATAGTCCCAATTAGTGAAATATATAACTCCTACAATCAAGTAGATAACATTGCAAAAAAGATGAATTAGCAAAAAACAAGATTCGAACTGTAGGACAACATAAGGGATTAAATAGCAAAAAAGATGAAATACCATTCATCTCAGTTTCTAAATTTCACAAATTACACTATTTTCAGACATATAGCACTCACCTTCACGATCTTCAACAGAGCTAATGATGTGAGCGGATAGTTGTTTAAATAGCATCATCTTCAGATGGGTTGTCAATATCATAGTCGGCTTCACCTTCGTCTGTTTCAGTAGAACAATCTTCATCACTACTAAAATCAAGCAGCGATGGCCCATCATCATCATCATTTCCCTCTCCAACATTGTAACGTTTATATTCCCTATCAACATATTCCACAACATGATTTATTGCAGCAATTGCCTTTTTCTTTGCCAAAACAGTCTTGTTTGCTAGATTCTCAGCAGAACTTTTTGATGCCTCAGCTGCCTTAGATATCGACATTGTCGCTATCTTTGCTGCTGTCAAGAGTAAATCTGCTATATTCTTATCCATCCCGTTAATACTTCCTTTATCTCCTCTGGCTTTAAATTTTTTTAGGGCGGAAACTAGTCTGTTAGGGTTCATGCATGATGAGCACATCGAAGGTGCTTCGGAGGAATTGCGATTAGAGTAGAAACAACTGGGATGAGAGAAAGATAAGCATTTAGGACAACGGATAAACATGCCTTCCGAATTGAAATCATGGAACGAAAGACAGGTGGGACAAAAGGACTGTTTGTGGGAAAGCAGGATACATGATGTGCAGAAACTCTGGATTCTGTCTTCATACCAGACACGGTGAAGGAATCGCGGCTCTTGATAACCACAGTTGTTGCAGAAGTTATCTTTGAATTGGGGAGTAAATGTCTGATTCATCTTCTAGATCAAATGATCGAATAAGAAGAGAGAGAGAGAGAGAAAGAACGATATTAAATCCTAAGGCATAAAATTCAGATGACGAACAAAGGAGCTAGGGTTTATGTGATGATATAGTAGCAGAAGAGAGGTGGATGGACAAGTGCCGTTGGATCTCTAGGTTAGATGGTCAGATGCTTAGTAGGATGAAACTTCTATTAAAATGACCTAATAAGGTAACTTTCACGCACACCCATATATCTTTTTACCTTCTTATTACCGTCACTTGCAAAGATGGTTTAAAATCCGGTTGACATCTTCTTTACCCTGTTAACGACCACCATATCCACTCAACCTACAAAAACAAAATGCTCGACTTGTCAAGATAATCCTTGCAATTGAAGTCATAATAAAATAATACATCAAGTCTAAACCTCATAATCAAGTACATTATTTGTATGAGATCAAATATTTTTTGCAAATAGTTACAGATGTGCACCAAACAAGGTGCAGAGGCATACTTGGTTTCTTTATATATGCATATTATACCAACATTTTAGTTTCTAATAATTTATTTAGGAGTAAATATGAAGACATAACACTTTAAAATCTTAAAAAGTTAAAATATAACACAATCATTAATTTAAACCCTTTATATAACTTTTCAAATTATACTTTCCCTACGAACTCATGAAGCTCAGTTTCGGTAGAGACTAAAGTCTTTCAAGTGGAAAACATGGCATCATCATCATGGGGACCAACAAAATTACTTGTTTTAAACTTTCACATAGAAATATCTTAACACCGTATATAAATATCAGCTAAAAGGTGCAACGATTGCACATCCTTTTCATGTTAAGATTCTAAACAAACAATTTATTTTCATAGGGCACTATTCTGGTTACATGAAGAAGCAGTTTATGATATTTTTATGGCCATGAAGCAATAATAAAATGTTTAGTTTATGAAGTAATAAATATTTTAGCAGCATATGTTGTTTAAATATAAAATTGACATTTATATACGTGATATGTAAATATATAACTAACAACCTTAAATTGTATAGACTGGAAAAAAATTCCCAATCGGATGGAAATGAAATCTTATTTCTCGACAGGAATGAGTACATGAATTGGGATTGAAAAGCAGGGATGACGATTAAGATCCCCGATACCCCCTTCTCTGTTGCCATCTTACAGTGAGATCTTGGGGTAAGTCAATTAGGGTTATGTTTTATTAAATTTTATAATAACTTTTGTTTTCATAAATTTTATTCTTTATTTTAGTGAAAACTTTTAGAACAAAAATAGCAATAAACTTTGAATCAGAATACATTATATTTATGCATTTCAGACAAGGATAGAGCCACGAATTCAAAATTACCTCGTCAATTAAAACACTACTAGAAAACCAGGTATCAGCGACGAATATCAGCGAGGGAAAATATTCCTCGCAGATCAGCGAGGGGCGAGGGATTAGCGAGGGAAATGCCAAAAAACTCATTCCCTCGCTGTTCCCTCGCTGATCTGTGAGGGAAATGCCAAAAAACTCATTCCCTCGCTGATCCCTCGCTGATCTGCGAGGGAAATTTCTTCTGCAAATTCCCTCGCTGATCTGCGAGGAAAATTTCTTTTGCAAATTCCCTCGCTGATCCCTCGTTAATCAGCGAATGATCAGCGAGGGAAATGACAAAATTCAGATTCCCTCGCTAATTTGCGAGGGATCAGCGAAGGATTTTTCTATTTTTCTTATTTTCTCATTTTTATGTGTTATATGTACATATTTTTATATGTTGATGTCGTATGTATGCATGTACATGTGTTGTTTGTGTGTGTGTGTGTGTGTATATATATATATATATATATGTTGTGGTTGCTAACCGCGATATGTGCATGTGCTATAAGTATATATACCCGTCGTGAGGGAAAATGATTTTTGTCATTTTTTTAATTTTATAACTACTAATTTAATTACTTATAAATTATTTATTACTAATTATTTATTAAATTATTACAAAAATTAATTAATAAAGCTGATTAAGCCCAATGAAACCGAATAAAACATATTAAGGCCCAATAAACCAAATAAAGTCAAATAAAACTAAATAAAGTTCATTAAGGCCCAATAAACTCAATGAAGCCCGGTAAATAGATTAAGGCCCAATAAAA